CGGACTCCGTCTCCTCCCTCCCCTCGACCATTCTCGGAAGCACGCTGTGAGTCTGAGAGAGAGAGAGGAGGTGCAGGACCAGCACAGAAAATCCCACCTCTACTCAACCCAGAAGCAGACTTCATAGCTCCAAGGGAATTGGGACAACACAGTGGGGAAAATCTTCTATCAGCATGGATGGTGGCATGCTTGAATTCCAAAGGCGGCACTGCACCTCCCTCCCCAAGTCCTTCCAGAAGAAGTGTCCTCAAGCGGTCTAGAAAGACGTCGGCGCTGGGACAGAAGGCCCTGGACCCACCACCCTCTGGAAGGCCCCAGGTCCCCGCCCCTCCAACCCAGGAAAGGGGCCTTCCTTTTGCTCCCCCAGCGAAAGGCTCCACGGAAGTCATTTTTAAGCTCTTTTAAGCCACAGGACCCTGTCTTCAAATGAGACACATCACCTACACCCAGTGCATAAAACTGCTAAAAGCGAGGCTGCCCCGGGTGCATCGAGGGTGGGGCCGGAGCCCGCCCTCCTCTGCCAGCGGCCGGAGCCCCCGTGGCTCTGCTCAGTCCGCGCCTTGTGTTCCTGGATTTGCCCCTGCCATCACCCCTGGACTGCGAAGGGTGCAATTCACCCTTCTGGAATAAGGACTTTATTTCTTCCTTCTCCCTCCCTCCCCTGGCCCATGGTCTGTGCCTTTTGGAGTGGAGGGGACATCCCAGCTGGGGACAGGGAGATGTGGAGGGAAGCCCAACAAACAGACGCAATCTGGGACTGTCTACATCCCACCAAGACACGGCCAACGCCGGGGTCCCGTCTAGCTCAACTGACTCTCACGGGGCCCCTGTGAAGACTAGCCCAGCCCCCTCTTCCTCAGAGCTCCCGAGTCCTGGCACCCCAAGGCCATGAGGGGCTCTCTCAGGCCAGAAGGAGCTCTGGGCCTCTACCCCAGCCTTCCTGCCTGCTCTACCTCCGCTGAGACAAGGAGGTGGTGCTGGGCAGGGCTGGGCTGGAGGAGGTCTCCTTTCCCCAGAGCAGGGGTGGGGCGGGGCGGGTCGGGGGGTCTGGAACGTGCTCGCACACCCTCCTCCTGCCCAGGAGGTGAGCAGCCAGAGTCCCCGGCCCTCAGGGTCTGAGGGGACGCTCCTGTGAGCCGTCCTCACGACGGCCGCCCCCGGTAGGGTCCTCTTCACGCGCCGTCTCACCCCGACTCAGACGCTAAAAATGGTTCTCTGGTTTTCAGCCTCGGCGCCTGCCCACAAATTAGTGTCTCCAAGGCTGACTCTTGGGACACGACTTCAGGGAGGCCCCTGGGGGAACAGGAGGCCTCGTGAGGGGAGACGGTGCTGGCAGAGCCCCTTTCTAAAGGGACAAGGGTGGGTGAGGCCCCCTCCCAGCTCTGGGACCCCCCACCGAGGCCACCCAGCCTCGGGGTGACAGCTCTGCTCTCCGTGCCACGGCAAAGGGACAGACTCTGTTTCCGCCCCGCTGGGGCAGCTCCCCTCACCTCCATCCCCCATCAGTCAGCTCTGCCCCAGCCCCGGCCGGCGCTGCCCTACTGGGGGAGGACGCAGCAAGAGGAAAAGAGGCACCCCATGTCCCTGCTGCTCGGGGTCGGGAACCAGCTTGCCAAGCCTGGGCTCCCTCAGTGTACCTTCAAGCACAGGGGCCAACTGGGAAACCAAGCAAGGGACGCCTGGGCTCACCACTTGCCTGATCTCGAGTTCCAGACTCTTCTCCCTTCCCCAGCCCTGCAGCAGTGGACTCAGAGAGGGAAGAAGCCTCCCGGGAGGGGGGGGGATGCCCACACCCGGGGCACCAACCCAGCAGGTGCCCTAGACTGAGGCAGGGATGGGAGCGGGAGGGACAGGGGGCGCGCAGGGCAGTACTTACAGGTAAGCCGTCAGGGGGTCGAGGTCCGCGGGCACCGCGGAGAGCCCGAGCTCGGAGCAGTCAGCAGACAGCATGATGCCGTCCGCCTGGCAGTGGCAGGGGGTCGGGCAGGCGGCCGGGCCCGGGCGGGACTGGGGGGCGCCGGCGGCACGCGCGGAGGCGCACAGCGCGGCGCACAGCCACAGCGCCCGCAGCCCGGGCGGGCTGGGCATCTCGGCGGCCGGCGGCGGCACCTGCGGGCGGGCGGCGCGGCCGTGGCCACGGCCGGGCTGCGCCGTCGGTGGGGGCCGCCCCGCGGGCTCTGCTCGGGTCGGCGGCGGCGGCGGCGGAGCGCGGGACGAGCAGTCAGAGAGGCGCAGGCATTGTCGAGTGATCTTCGTTATTCGGTTTCACGGGCTGGGCTTGGCAAGGGAGGGAGACCCAGGCGGAGGAGGAGTCAAGGAAACTTTCTACGCTGCGGCTGCTCCCCTTCCCTCCTTCCTTCCGAGCTGGCAGGAATTTCATCCAGGAAAGAAAAAAAAAGGGGGGGGGGAGAAAGCAAAGAAACCCAAGCGAAGCTCAGCGTGTCACGGACCTGCACTTGTTCGGAAAGGTGCCCCAGGGCCTGGGCTAAGGGGGCTCAGGACCCTCTTGCCTTTGGGGACAGCCCCGAGTCGCATGGGACCCAGAGGAGGCCCCCTGAGAGAGACTGCAGAGCCCCCAATCCCCCCACCACGTTGCAGGCTGGAGCAAACTGAGCCAAGAGGAGAAGCGGTTTGCTCAAGGTCGCGCAGCTGATGCGGGACGGCAGGCCAGCCCTCCTCGCCGGCCTCCTGGGACAGGAGAGGGGGAAGCGAGGGGCTGTTCCCGGGGTGGGGGGTCAGGCTGTGCAGGGTGCCACTGCCAGCAGGGGTGAGGGGCAGGGGACAGTGGGGGCCCCTTCGCTGCGGGGCCGTGCCCTGACTCCAGAGAAACGAGGGTGGGTTCCACCCGCTGAGTGTGTCCCGGGTGGAATGCACTGCTGCAGCCGCACTCGGGTCTCAGGGCTCGGGAGCACCGGGATCCCCGCCGCGGGGCGCAGGGACGCCTAGCACGCGCGGGCCGCCCAGCTGGCTGTCACAGCCCGCCCGAAAACAGGCAGGCTGGCGCCACCTGGAGGCCGCCCGCTGCAGCCGCAGCTCGGCCACCTGGAAGCACAAAGCCCACCGCGGGACGTCCTGGCCAGCCCCAGCGGCTCTGGGAGCAGGGAACCGGGGTTAAAACTGGGGTGCAGCCCCTGTTCTCTCCCGAGACCATACTGGGCTGGCTGTGCTCCCTTTGTATAGCCCCTTGCTTTGTGTGGTCTCTCCTAGGCTGAAGCAAGCCCAGGCACAGAGCCGGAGCAGGTGCCTAGCTCCCTCTTCTTATTTCTGCCCTACCTCCCCATGGTCCTTGTAGAGTGTGCACCAGAAACCTGGGACCTCAGAGGGATCCAGGACTCCCTCCCCCCACCCCGTGCCTGCACATCCCGGGACCCTCTCTTTAATGCCTCTCCACATTGCTAACCTTCCAGGGTTGAAGAGGTTGCACAGCTGGATCGAGAAGCAGGCAGACCCGGCCCTAGTCCTCCGGCCGGGGCCAGGGCCTGGGAAGTGGAAGATGACCCTCATAGGAAGGCCCAAGGCTGGCCCCGCACAGAAAGACGCACAGATAGGGTCACCTCCACCCTATGCAGAAGGCCACCTCGGGTAGCCTGCATTGCCGGCCTCGCTCATTCATAGCCTCGGTCCATCCCCCTTCGCAGCTGCTGCTGCCCCAATGTGAGGAGCCCAGGTTGGAAACACCAAGGCTGAGCCCTGAACGGCCCCTTGAGACGGGCTTGGGCAGCTCAGAGCTGAGTCTCCACGTGAGTGAGGGTCACTACGAGGCCAGCCCCCCGGGCTCCTGACAAACACAATGTATGAGAAGGACATCGACATTCGGCCCTCCTGGGCAGAGCCCCAGAGCCTGGCCCCATTCTGGAAGCCTCCTGATTGAGCAGAAAGCAATACCTCTGTTCCCCTTCTTCAGCCACGCCTGAGAAGGACACTCCCCTGACCTCTGACCCCTTGCACATTACTCGGAACTCAGGTTGTCCCAGGAGCTCCGCCCTCTTCCCCTTTTTTGGGGGGGTCTAACTCCATTTTGGGGATTCCTGCTCTGATCTGCCCAAGCTTTCTCTGTGTCCTCCCAGGGCCCTCTGTCAGGGGCAGTCAGTACCCGGCATCGGACACCTGCGGTCCAGAACCTTGCAGTGCGACCAGGGAGACGGGCTCACGAGGCCATCGGGGGTCATGCACGTGGTGTGCAGTCCTGCCCTCAAGTGTGTGGGACAGTCCCCACCCTCTTTCTGGTCTCTGCCTTCTCCTCCTGGTTTTCCCCTTCTCCATGTCCCCTCACTGCCGCCTCCCCCACCTCCCTCCTGTGCAGAGCGTGGAGGGGAGGAGGCAGGGAGAGCAAAGGAGCAGGAGAGACGTGGCCACTCTGCCCGAGAGGAGCCTCCAGCGTCTGACTTCCAAATCACAGTGCCGGCGCCAGCGCCTCCACCCTGGCGGGGACTGAGGGTGGCCCCAGGAGCTCTGGCAGGTAGAGAAGGATGGGGATGGCGGGAGAAGGGAGTGGGGGGCAGGAAAGATGCTACTGCATACGGGTGGTGGCATGGGACAGGTCGGGGGTGGGGGACAATGAGGAACTGGGACTCTGAATCGCAGCAGCTGGTCACCACGGGAGACCAGAGGTGGAGACCAAAGTCTGGGAAACTGGAGGATCAGTGGGGAGAGGGCATCCCCAGGGAAAGCCAAGCAGGGGTCCTCAAACTATGGCCATTTATCCGGGCTGCCATTTACCCAGCCTGCTGGGTGTCTTTGCTGCCGCTGCCTGTCCTGCTTAGCAGCCGACACGTCCCGGGCCCACAGTGCGCATGTGTGGAACGTGCGCTGCACTCTCCAACGGCCCTCCAACGGTCTGAGGGACAGTGAACTGGCCCCCCTGTTTAAAAAGTTTGAGGAACCCCTGGCCAACAGTGTCCCAGCTGCAGGCCACCTCGTTCAGCCGGAGCCCAGGGCCCGGCCCTCCAGGCCCAGTGCTGGCCCCATGTCAGAGGATGGACAGGCAGGACACACCCAGCCTCGGGCTCGACCTCGTGTCTTTATTCCCCGACTCTGCCCCTTCCCAGCACAGGGGCCAGCGGAGGCTGCTCTTCTGGGGGAGGCCAGGCCGGGGACTGGGGCCCGCTGTCCCTGCTGGCAGGGCATAGACCTCTTCTGCTCCAGCACAGCAGCCAGCACCGACTCAGGGCAGCCCGTCCACCAGCGCGCTGTGCAGACAGTCGTAGAAGTAGATATACTGCTCCTGGGGGTAGACACGGGGTTAGGAGCCTCGCTCTGCCTGCCCACACCCCAGAAGGAGACGGGCTCCCTCGTGTCTCCACGTGGGAGACGACACAGCAGTCCACAGCGCCACCTGGTGGCTGCTCAGCGGCACTGCCTAGACGCCAACGCAGAAGCTTCCTACCTCTCCACCCCTCCCCGCAGCCCAGCCCTTGGGGGCTTCTCACCAGCGTTGGTGTCATGAGGCCACAGGCCTGTGACTGCTGCAGGGCCACGTTAAAGACGTCCACGGTGCACTCAGACTCTGCCTGCTGCAGCAGCTGCTCCATGGCCAGGAAGGTGCCCAGCTGGGCTGCACCCTCGCTGCAATTGACCTAGAGTTGGTGGGGCACCTGGAGGGGGTGGGGCGGGGGTATGCAGGGATGTGGGGAAACCCAACCTGGGCCCAGGGACTTAGAAGGGACACTGGGTGCTTGGACAGCCAGCCAGCCTGGGCCCAGGCAGGGAGTAAATTCCTACCATATCCCTGAGGACAGGGCAGGGTGCAGAGAAGACAGGGAGGGGCATTATGGGGAGACCCATAACCTTTTGACCCATAACCCAAGAAGGGCTCAGTGAGATGTGAGGCCCTGCCAGAGGCGGGGAGGGGCCCGTCTCCCGAGATCCCTGTCCAACAGCACCTGGAGTGGCTGAGCAGCGTGCCCGGCTTCTTGTTCCTGCCCCGCGAGCAGCACTGGCCCACGGCGGTCAGGAAGGCCAGCAGGGTGGCGGTGGGCAGCTCATGCCCAGGCTCCCAGTATGGAAACTGCAATCGCTGCACCTGCCTCTCCTTCCCGCTCTCCCCCTGGAGCAAGACGTGGTCAGCACTGGTGCCGGGAAGGGCAGGGGAAGCCCACACAGCCCCCCACCCCGTGCCCTGTGGCCCTGGCACCCACATGTGTGACCCTGAAGAGGGTACAGGGCCAGCCTGCTGCATTGGTCTCGGCCATCCAGTGCACTGTCACTGCGTCCGTGACGATGGGCTGTATCTCCGTTGGCCAGAACTCCCGTGGCTGGGATGGAATCAGGGCTGTTCAGGCAGCTTCCTGCCCCTGCGCTGGTCACAGACACCACCACCAACTGCCCCCAGCCCCTGTCCCAACTCCTGGGCCTCCCCTCCTCTGTCCCTCTGCCCCCTCACCTTCTCCAGGGCATCGGGCGGGCACAGGGAGACCAGCACACGCGCCCCACGCTGCCACACCAGCTCCCAGAGCTCCTCCGGCCCTGTGCGGCCGGTCACCACCACGTGATCCCTGCCAGAAGGCCCGCCCTGCGGACCACAGCTCATCAGCTCCCAGGGACTCAGGGTGCGCCCTGCCCAGCCCACAGCTCTGGGAGCCCCCAGCAGCCTCAGCCCGGCCCAGAAAGCACAGATGGCCAGAGAGGGCGAGCAACAAGGCGGCAAGACCAGCATCAGCTCACAGGGAAGAGCCAGGCTTCTGGCATGTCGTCAGGGGGGCTCTCCTCCACCGGAGAGAACCGCACTTGAGAACGGTCGTCTGGGGGAAGATGGTGAGCGTGAGGCTGCCAGAGGGCCCTGGCCCACGCTGGCACTCCCCACTCCCGCTCCTCCACGTGGTCCAGGTGAGACTCACAGGAGACCGTGCTGTCCTGCTGGTGGCCAGGAGGGGGCGTCGGGGAGCCAGCCTCGTCCCTGATGGCCTGCAGCAGGAGCTGGGAAGAGGGCGGCATGCTGAGGCTGGACAGAGCCGGGGGAGTGACGGGGCTGGGCAAGGGGAGGCTGCCCGTGCTTGTCACCCAGCCCCTGGCCTGAGCGTACCTCGTACTCCTTCAAGAAGCCGGCGTTGGCATTGGCCGCCCTCCTGGCACAGGCCTCCGCAAAGCTTGTCACAGGGATGGGCCGGGACCTGGGCAGGGCGGAGGGGAGACCCCGCTGAGGCCACCCCGCTCCCCTGCCGGTCTGCCAGCTCTGCCAGCTCTGCCCACGGACTGGAGCCGGGGAGCCAGTGGGCGGGAAGGCACAGGGCACCTGTGTCCCCCCAACCAGGGCCCAAGGGGAGCTGCCACTTACTCGGAGATGTCGGAGGGCTCGTCCAGAATCTTGTTGAGCAGGCAGCTGTGCAGGAAGACGTACTGGCTCTGGCAGGGGAGGGGCATCAGTCGCTAAGGAGCACAGTGGGGGGGGGGAAGGGCGCTCTGGGGACCCTTCCCTGTGTCGTAGTGTCGTAGTGTCCAGGCCTGGGGACTGTCCCTCCTCTGCTTTTGCAGAAAGGAAGCTGCAGTCCAGCTAGGACGGTGACATGTTTGAGGGCCCCCCGCCCCACCCCACCCCACCCCGCCCAGGGTCCTCTGTGAGCCCCCTTTCCCGGTGCCTTCGCCGCCTGCGGTCCCACAGCCACGCACCCCCCTCTCCCTCCTCCGGGGACCCTGCTGCCCCGCCCGCCCGCCGGGGCGCTCACCGGGGTCTGGATCATGAGAGGCCGGTGCAGCCGGAGCGCGTACACGGCGTGGAACACGTCCACCGTCTGCTCCTCCTCCAGCTGCCGCAGCAGCCGCGACAGGGCCACAAAGGTGCCCGTGCGGCCAACGCCCCCGCTGCGGGGACAAGCCCCGGGCAGCTGAGCGAGCGAAGGCGATTCCGCTATCCCCCCCTCTCCTCATGTCCGGGCCGGGCCGGGCGCCTCACCTGCAGTGCACCAGGACGGGCCCTGCGCCCCGGGCGGCCCTCGCCTGCTCCCGCACCAGCTCCGCGAAGGCCAGCAGGGCGCCGGGGGCCTGGGGGACGCTGTGGTCCGGCCAGGCGGTGAACTGCAGCTGCTTCACCCTCCGCTGCCGGTGCTGGGCAGCCTGGGGGGGCGGAGGGCCCTGCTGCTGCTCCGGCACTTTCCTCACCAGCTCCCCGACGCCACCACCCTCACACTGGTGCCCCCTGAGGGTGGCAGCTAGGTCTCCGCCCTCGGTCTGGGTGCTTCCCGAGCCCTTGGGTCCCCTGCTAGCCTCCTGGGGTGCCCGGGCAGAGGGGTGATTCAGGTCACTGCTTTTCCGCCCCAGGAGGGCACAGCCTGGGCGGGCACATGTGGCACAGGGGTTTGGGGTGAAGCAGGGAGCCCCTGTAATCCCAGCACTCTGGGAGGCCGAAGCGGGTGGATCATTTGAGCTCAGGAGTTTGAGACCAGCCTGAGCAAGAGCGAGACCCCATCTCTACTATAAATAGAAAGAAATTAATTGGACAACTAAAAATATGTAGAAAAAATTAGCCAGGCATGGAGGCGCATGCCTGTAGTCCCAGCTACTCGGGAGGCTGAGGCAGAAGGATCGCTTGAGCCCAGGAGTTTGGGGTTCCTGTGAGCTAGGCTGATGCCACAGCACTCTAGCAACAAGAGTGAGACTCTGTCTCCAAAATAAAAACAAGCAGGGAGCCCCAAAGGGAGGGCAGGGAGGGCAGGAACCATCACTCCTCACCCTGCTCCTCCTCTGCCTCACTGAGCGACCTTGGATAAACCATCAACCCCCTCTGTGCCGCCCAACCCCTTCCCTAACCACTCATTCCCCGGTGGTCGCTGAGTGCTTGCAATCCAAGGAAGGAAAGGGCCCCAGGAGGTGAGACAACCGTCTCAGGGACACTGGACCCGAATGCCACACCCCACCCTCCACCCCGTCCCCTGGAGCACGCACATGCTGCAGCTGGAATTCCCGCTTGGTCCAGGCATCCTCAGGCTCTTCGGCCAGGAGGTGGATGGTGATGTGGCCGTGGGTGACAGGGACGGAGCTGTCTGGCCAGTAATGCTCACACAGCACCTGGGGCCAGAGGGTGGGAGAGGAAGGTGTGGTTGTGGGCCCAGCCCTGCTGCCACCCTGGCTTTACCCAGTCCTTCGCCCAGTCCCAATCCTCCCCATCCATCTTTCTGGTCCTTGTCACCCTGCTGAAATTCTGCTCTCTGTACCGACCCGGCCCCAAGGGCCCTTCCCCGAGAAGCCTGTCCCTGCTGGCTGGGCTCTGGCACCCTCTCCAGACCTCTCCCACGTCTCAGGGCTTTGCATCAGCCACCAGGATGCTCTGTGCAGCTGGAAGGCCCTTACTCCACGGCCCCCAGCCCTGGCCTCACTGCTCCGGCCAGAGGACAGACTCAGCAGCCGCTCTCTGTCCCGGGGCCCTGCACTGAGCAGGGCACAGAGGGGACATCCACCAGGCTTATGAAAAGAAAGGGTGCAGCATGCTCTGCCTTGGGGGCCACCCCTGGGCTAGTGCCTTCTGGGCCTCGAGCAAGAGGTCAGGGGAAACTAAGCCAGTCTGGGAGCTTGCATCCCTGCACCCCGCCCTGCCTCCCCGTCCTGGGTGATCCTGCAGACCCCCGCCAACCGCCAGCCCTCCCCCTGTCTGCCCCACCCTCTCTGACGGAAGACCCCCGTTCCTGCAAGGAGAATGTGCTGCCGGGTGGCCAGGCAGGGAAGCCGTGGGTGCACGCACCCTCCCGTTCTCCATGCCCACGGTCAGCATGGCGATGACCTGGACCCGCTGCTCCCACACCAGCCGCCAGAAGTCCTCCAGCGTTTTCTTGAGAGGCCCCTGAGTGGCGATGAACTCCTGTGGGTGGGTGTAGCCCTAGGGTGTCGGGGGTGCAGGTCAGGAACGTGTTAGCAGGTGATGCCTTGGTCCCCGGGGCCCCACCAAGCACGTAGCACGGGGTACCCCACATATGACCCCCAGGAGCGAAGACACGGTGTACAAGCCTGCACGTGTGCAAGCACACGGACACATGTGTGCGCCCAGAACCCAAACCAGGAGAGGTGACTTCAGAGACACCCACCTCAAATGGCAAGAAAACCCGACATGAAACTACTAAGATGCTGACATGTCAAAAACAGTCTGCCCGGGCTGCCCCCTTCACCAACCCGGAGTGACTTTCCCAAAACCAGTGTTTCTTCTGTGCTCAAAAATCTTCCACAGCTCCCCAAGGCCACCAAATAGAGTCCAATAGTTGTCCCTCAGCCTGACAACCAAGGTCCTCCTTCCTCCAGCCCCAGGCCACCTTTCCCAGCTCTTCTCCAGCCAGCCGCCACCCCACCCCCACGCACACACATGCACACACGTGCACGCACACACATGCACACATATATGCACACAGATGCACACGCGTGTGCACACAGACACTCGTGCACACATGTATGTGTGCGTGCATGCACATGCACACGTGCACATGCACACATATGCACACACATGCATACAGACGCATGCACACAGGCGCACACACGTGCACACACGCACACACCGCCTGCACATCACTGCCTGGTGTTCGCTGCCAGCTCTTTCCAGCCAGAATGTCCTTCTCTCTCTCATCACTTGTCCCTCAACAAATCCAGTGTCCCTCCTCCACGTGCCCTGAGCGCGGTGCTTGTTCCTGTAGCACAGCCCTGTCTCACTGCGTGGTGGGCGCCACACACACACACGTGCTCCTTTGAAGGAGGGAGCGTGGCCGACTCAGCCCTGCTCCCGCAGGCCCAGCACGGAGCTGGCTCGCAGCAGACCCTCGGTAAATACCCGCCAGGTTGACCCAGCGAAGCCCAAGCTGGGGATCTTCCTGGACAACCGCCACAGCCAAGGCAGGACAGGTTGTCCTGGAGACCAGCCCGTCTCCCGAGCAGGCCCCACGCAGCCGCACCAGTGGCCCTTACTGGGATGAAGTTGGCGTTGATGTAGTCGGAGTGGGGCTCTCCCTCCAGCCGGGTCAGCCTGACCCTGGAGTGGTCATCTGCGGAGGGCGAAGGCTGTGCGTTGGCACAGGGCACACGTCGCGCCTCTCCGAGCCGGCCCCGGCCTCTGCCGTGCCCCCTCCCGCTCCCAGCGCTCACAGGGCAGCACGTGCGGGTATCGGTTCTTGGCAGTGTTGGCGGGGTGCTCGCCTTCCAGTCTGGGCTGCTCCTTGCCCACCTCCTTCAGCTCCTGCAGAGACGGGGCGGCCACTGGTGGCTGACGCAGACGCGCCTCGCCCCACACCAGAGAGGCGCAGGGGGGCGAGCGCACAGCCCGGAGCACCCTGCGGACCCTCAGGCAGGCCCAGCAGCCTAGATGCCCCAGGGCGCTGCCTCCTCTGAGCCCGAGGGTGGTGCCGGCCTTACCTCGAACTCCAGAAAGAAAGCCCGGTGAGCGTGGGCGCTCTTGGCCTCGTAGCTCTGCCGGAAGCTGTGGATAGGGGTGGGCCGGTGGGTTCGCCTGGGGGGAGAGGGAAGAAGTAGGCCCTGTCCTGGGTGTGCAGAGTCCTGCCCTGCCCTCCCTGGTGATGGGCCAGAGCAGGGGACCTCAGTCCTGGCTGCACACCTGGTCCCCCGCGGGCCTGCGGGAGTGCAGACCTGGGCTCCACCCCAGGTGTGGAACGGCATGCGTCTCCAGCAAGCCCCTCCGAAGCCCAGCCTGGCTCCGAGCCCAGGGGAGCAGAGAGGAAGAAGGGGCAGGGGAGACACAAGCCACACACGAACGCACACAGGAGAGGGCCTCCGTGCACAGCCAGAGCTCGGGTAGTGTCGGTTCAGCAGGAAGTCAATGCGAGGGAGAGATTTGGCCCGACACAGTCTACCTGGTTAGTCGGGGGGGGGGGGGGGCGGTAAGAACTGGAGCAGGACAGTGACAGTTAATTTTATGTACCTACGTGGGTTGGGCCATGGTGCCCAGATCGTTGCTCAAACATTATTCTGGATGTTTCTGTGAAGGTGTTTTTTGGATGAGACTAACATTTAAAGTGGTTGACTTTGAGTAAAGCAGATTACCCTCCCTAAGTGGGTGGGCCTGGTCCAATCAGGCGAAGGCCCGACTAGAACAAGGACTGAGCTCCCTGGGCAAGGAGGAATCGTGCCAGCTGCCTGTCTCCAGACTCTTCTTCCAAAGCCTTCGGCCTGCTGGCCTGCCCGCTTCGGATCTTGGACTCACCAAGCCTCTGCAACACGTGGGCCAGTTCCTTAAAATCAGTGTCTGCCTCTCCCTCTGCCTCTCTCTCCACACTCACACAACATGCACGCACGCCCTGCTGGTCCTGTTTCTCCGGAAAGCCCTGACACTGAGGTCGCAGGGGGAGGAAGAGGCCGCACGGGCAGAGAGACGCGAGAAAGCGAGGGCTCCCGGTGGGAGAAGGTGTGCTGGAGGCTGAGGAAGGAGGATGGGAGGGACCCTGGCAGAAGAGGCCTGCTGCCCTGACCCGGTACAGCCACAGAGGAGCAGGCTGCTCCGGGAGGCTTGGTGACGCCCCCACGGCCCCCCACGCCGTCCCGGGGAGCAGGCAGGGACACCCACCGCAGGTTGCGGCCCGTCCGCTCTCGGGAGAACCGGTTCTTCTCTGCCCTGCGAAGGTGGACAGGCGCGTGGCAGCACCCCGGGGCAGGGGGCTGGCCCGCCCCGTCACCTGGCTCTCCCCAGCCCCGGGTCTGCCCTCCCGCTCACCTCTGCCCCTTCGCCCGCCTCCAGCACAGCAGGCCCAGCACGGCACAGGTGACAAGGACACAGCCCGCCGCGACGCCCACCACCGCTGGCAGGGGCACTGCTGCCGGGGAGACGCTGGCCCGGGGCTCTGCGGGGGGCAAGGGAAGGGTGGGACACAGCAGCCTCGTCCCGCTGACCCTGCAGGGCCATGCCAGCCTCTCCTGGACTTGGCACCCTCTCGTGGAGGGCGCAGTGACGGCTCCCTTCCCTGCAGGAGTCCCAGATGCCGAGCCGAGGCCAGAGGTGGCTGCCTGGGGGGCATCTGCGTGGGGAACTGAGGCCGCCCAGCAAGCCCTGCCCCCTCCAGCTCCTGGGTGCCCCAGAGACCCTGCCACCCTCCCGGCACCATCAAAGAAAAAGAGAGCAGCAGCCTGGCTTCCCCGACCTTCTAGAACTGCACCGTCCCAGACGGTAGCCACTAGCCACACATGGCTAGTATGCATTTGTGTTTTTTTGTTTGTTTTTTTTTTGAGACAGAGTCTCGCTCTGTTGCCCGGGCTAGAGTGAGTGCCGTGGCGTCAGCCTAGCTCACAGCAACCTCAAACTCCTGGGCTCAAGCGATCCTCCTGCCTCAGCCTCCCGAGTAGTTGGGACTACAGGCGTGCACCACCATGCCCGGTTAATTTTACTATATATATATATATATATATATTTTATTGGCCAGTTAATTTCTTTGTTGTTTTTTTTTTAGTAGAGACAGGGTCTGGCCCTTGCTCAGGCTGGTGTTGAACTCCTGAGCTCAAACGATTCTCCCGCCTCAGCCTCCCAGTGCTAGGATTACAGGCGTGAGCCACCGCGCCCGGCCTGCATATTTCTTTTTACTTCTTTAATGTAGCAACTAGGAAATTGTAAATGGCGCGTGTGGTCTGCAGTTGTGGCCTGCCTTACGTTTCTGTTGGGCAGAGCCGCCCTAGAGCCTCGGTGGCCCAGGAGCAGCCGGGCGTGGAGGGGCAGCGCAGGAAGGCAGAGCGATCGTGGCAGCAGCCAGCTGTCTCAACACCTCTGCCTCCCCCAGCCCCCCTCTCAGCCCATCCAGGCCACGCCTGGTGCCCAGAGCACCTCCGTCCCTGGCTCTGGGTGTCCCAGCACTGCTGGGCGGGGCATGTTCTCCCAGGACTCAGCTCGGGCCCTCCTGCTGCTGGCTGGGGATGAGCCTCAGCACCCCTCCCCTCTCCAGGGTCCGCCGGGAGCTCCAGCCTTCCGCCCGCCCTACCTGAGAAGGCCGAGAAGGAGATGACGGTCCCTGGGGGGCTGCGCCTGGTGAAGGCCGCAACACTGAACCTGGGCACAGAGACAGGACCTGCTGTTGGGGAGGGGCCGGCAAGTAAGGCAGAGCCCCTCCCAGGAAACTGGGTCAGAAGCAGTAGACTCTCGGATAGCAGGAGCTTCCCTCACTGTTTAGAGGGTGCATATCGATCGTGCTACCTGCCACCCTAGAGCAACCACTCCCAGCCCTATCCTGAGAGCAAAAAGAAGCTCTAGAAATAGGCACCTGGATACCCTTGGAGTTGCCCTGGCAAACTGGAACAGAATCCATCCCACCCTCCTCTTTGAAAAAAGAATCATGTAACAGATGGGTATTCCCTTTTTTGCCTTGTCTGCCAGGAAGCCCAGTCAAAATAACTCTGTTGGCCCTTATGGACTATCACGTGCATTCTTCTCTTCCTAAGTCAGTCCAGATCTTTTGTTTGTTTGCAACCCACAAATGCAACCTACAACAGCCCCCCTCTCCCTCCAGGCTTGGGAGCCCTCACCTATACTGGGAGCCTGGCTTGAGCTGCCCGTTACATATCTCCTGGGTGTGGCCACAGTCCTCGACACCCACGGGCACAGTCCAGGAGCTCGGCGCAGCCCAGGGCCCTGGGTAGAAGGGGTTGGGGAGCAGGATGGCCAGGTAGGAGTCGTGTCCCCGGTAGTAGTGGTCGTACCACGTGTGGTTGATGGCTTTCTGGGAAGGCCGAGCCACTGGGAGAGGAACGCAGAACAGGTGAGCCGACGGGCTGCCCCTTTTCTCTATCACGCGCCCACGTGCAGTTCAGCGTCAGCCGCATCTCAAGAGCACCCCGAGCCCCCTTCCTAAGACTGATGCTGCCTCAGACACTTCTTTTCCCCGGTCTCAGTCTCTGGACCCCGCCCCTACTCCATGCTAGGCAACAGCCGGGGTCTCTCCATTCCGTCCTGGGCGCAGGACTCACGCGACATGTTGGTGGTGGCAATGACGCCGTACCACTGGATCTGCCCATCGTCCTGGCCGAACATGCCCGGCACGATCCTCACTCCCACCTCCGTCCCGGGCTCCAGCTGGGGGGCTGGGGCCGACTCCGGCGGGCGCCAGGCTGCATGTGGAGAGGAGGAGGAGAGTGAGGGCCTGGCTAGGTCCCCGACCATCAGGCTGCAACGGCAGGGACCACGCCCTCCTCCCCCAGCGCCCTCACGGTGCCCGGCTACGAATAGCTCATGGACATAACCAAGTAAGGACTTGGGAGATTCCTGGGCTAGGGTGCCAGGACAGGAGGCCGAAAGTATGGGACAAACCAGCAAGACTAGGGCCAGAGCGAGGGGCTGGGGCTTAGGGAGCAGGGACAGCCCCAGGCAGCCGGCCCGATGAGCGGCAACCCCAGGGAGGCAGGGACGGGGAAGACAGGGAGCAGGGGTGGCTCCAGGGGCAGCGGAAGGGACAGACCCTCGGCGGAAGTGGCGCACACCAGGGTGACCGCCCGGCTCCGCAGGCCGTTCCTGCCCCGCACGGAGAGGCTGAGGCGGTAGGGAGTGGCCGGCGCCAGGCCGGGCAGCAGGGCCGCGCTGCGGGAGACGTTGGCCTGGAACACGAGGCCAGCGCTCCCTCCCGGGCCCAGCTGCTCTGCCACCACCAGGCAGGCACCCACGTCCCCGGCGGGCGCCGTCCAGGTCAGGGCCAGACGGGTGGCTTCCGGCTGGCACTGCACGTCCTCCACGGGGCCCGGCTCTACGGAACAGAGGGCTCTGCGTCAGGCGGGTGTCGGAGCCCCCCGGGAGGACGGCGTCTGGTCTGGGGCTCCCAAACTAGCAGGCACAAAGGGAGGAGGCGTGGACACCCAAGAGAGGGGCGTCGGCCACACAGAGAAACCGCTTCTCCTTTAGAGCTCAGGGAGGGGCGCGACCCAGGGCGAGGCAGGGGCGCAACCCAGGGTGAGGCGGGGGCGTGACCCAGGGCGGGGCGGGCACAGCATCCACCTGGCAAGAGCAGGCAGCGCGGCCCCCTGGACCAGACCCGCATCCCAGTGCACCTGCGTCCCTTCCCCGGCAGACTCAACGTACCGACAGGCAGCACCACGGGGAGAGTGGCCGCCCGGCGCGGCCCCGCCTGGCACAGCACGGACAGGGAGAGGTCGCGCCCGGGCGTGAGGCCCCGCAGGACGAGGCGGGCTTGGCCCAGCGCCAGGGGCTGCTGCCGGGAGAGACGCCCGGCCTCCCAGAGCTGGGTGTGGCACGTGCCCCGCCCCCAGGGGCCGCTGGCCCAGGCCAGGCTGACCACGGCGGTGCCCGCATGCGTCGACACCAGCAGCTCGCTGGGCGTGAGGGGCGCTGCGGGTGCAGGACAGCAGGTCAGCCGGGCGCCGGCTGGTCCGAGAGCCACGCGCACGCACGCACGACGCCGGGGCCCATCAACCCCGCATGGGGCCCTGGGTGCGGGAATGGAAAACGGGCTAAAGGGGGCTCAGGTGCCGGTGGGGGAGACCCCAGGTGCTCAGGGGCAGCGCTGCCCGCCTGCCCCCCTCACCGCCATCCCCACGCCCCACTCACAGGTCCAGCCGGAGACGTTGGTGGCCGCGGCGTGCAGGGGCCCGGCCCGCGAGACCACCTCCACCTCGTACTCGGTGCCGGGCATCAGGGCCGAGAAGCTGGCGCTGTCCGCCTCGGCTCCCGTGGCGCGGGTGCCCACGAGGACACCTGCCCGGTACAGGTTCACCTGGTAGCCGTCCCAGCCCCCCGACGCGTGGACCCAGGATGCCCGGAGCTGGGTGGGACCTTCGCTGGTCACGTTTACCAGAGGAGGGGCGAGGGGGCCTGTCGCAAGAGCAAGGCGTGGGGGTGTGGAGAGGAAGGGAGGAGGGAATCTAAACAGGTCTCCGGCTCCTCGCTCCCTAGGGGAGCCCTCACCGCTCCCTCAGCCCCACTGCCACCAGGAAACACCAGGGCCCGGCGCGGTGGCTCACGCCTGTAATCCCAGCACTCTGGGAGGCCGAGGCAGGAGGATTGCTCAAGGTCAGGAGTTCGGAACCAGCCTGAGCAAGAGCGAGACCCTCGTCTCTACTAAAAATAGAAAGAAATTAATTGGCCAACTAAAAATATATAGAAAAAATTAGCCTGTCATGGTGGCTCATGCCTGTAGTCCCAGCTACTTGGGAGGCTGAGGCAGAAGGATCGCTTGAACCCAGGAGTTGGAGGTTGCTGTGAGCTAGGCTGACAACATGACACTCTAGCCTGGGCAACAGAGTGAGACTCTGCCTCAAAAAAAAAGAAACACCAGGGGCTGGAGACACCGGGTCAGGCCGTCCAGTGACCTGTGCTGCACTCGAACGCTGGGCCTGCCGTCCATCCAGGCAGCAGAGTGCAGCTCAGTTGCCCAGCTGCCCCGAGTCTCTCCCCCGCTCTCATCCCCACCCGGGGCAAGGGAGACAGCGGCTGGCACGCACGTGTGTAGCCCACGAGGCTCTGGGTGATGGCTCCTAGAGATGACGTGATGTCCACCCGGTAACGGGACCCAGGCACCAGCCCGCAAAGGGTGATGTGGGTGGCATCACATGGCACGGAGATGTTCCCAACGAGGCCTGGGGCACCCTCAGCGTAGAGCAGTGCCCGCCTCCCAGGCTCCCTGGTGGCCTCCAGCCCATGCAGCTGCAGCTCGGTGCCGTTGCATGGGCCGGGCAGGGCTGCAGGACCTGCAGAGGAGGCAGGCCCTGGACTGTGAGGCCCACCTGCCTCTCGATGCAGATGGCCCTGGGCGGGACCACCACCCCCACCCCCGCTTCCCGCCAGCCTGGACTCACCATCCAGCCAGGTGCAAGCCTGGGCCCAGGCACCATAGGGCCCGGCCAGGACCCTCAGCTGCAGAGTGTAGTGCCCAGCGGGCAGGGGCCCCGGGAACATGGCACTGAGGGCCCCGGCGCCCAGAGTGGCGTTCTCTTCCACCGGCCCACTGAGCCGCAGCAGGAAGCCGTCCCGGGCACCCGGCCCTACCTTCCAGCTCGCCCAGAGCCTGGGGGGCAGGGGCATCAGCACCAGGTCCAGCGGGGCAGAGGGATCTGTGGAGAAGAGGATGAAGGATGTGCAGAAAGACCTAAGCAGTGAGTGAGAACGGCCTGCTCTTCCTGCACACTCGGGGCCACGTCCCGTCCAGACGTGAGCAGCCACCGTGTGCCTCGTTCTGGACGAATCCCGAGATCTAGCCGCCGCCATCTGGCTACGGACAACAATACCGTGTTTCCCCGAAAACAAGACCTCCCCATAAAATAAGCCCTGGCAGGATTTCTAAGCATTTGCACGATAGAAGCCCTACCCCGAAAATAAGCCCTAGTGACGGGCGTGGCTGCGCAGCGCGTCTGCACAACCCGTGCATTTCCTCGCGGAGCGGGAAGGAAGACGAGCAGCCCTTCCCATCTGCCCCAGGAGAGCTCTAGTGCTCAGAGATCGGGCCAAAAAGTCCAAAAGAAAAAAAAGCCCAAAAAAATCAAGAAGGAAATCAAGGATTGGAAAAGGAAGAAGAAGGTCCAAAAAAAAAAGAACTCAACAAAATTGAAAAAAAGGAAAAGGGTGGAACCGAACTAAAAAAAAAATAACACATTCCCCGAAAATAAGCCCTAGGGTGTCTTGTTGAGGAAAAATAAATATAAGACCCTGTCTCATTTTCGGGGAAACAGGGTAGTTGAAATGAGAACACATCAGGTGGTCACAGGCGTCCCTGCCAGCTTGGTTCTGAGCACGCCACACGTGCTCCTCACACCGAATCCTCGCCCCACTGGGAGGTGGACGCTCCCATTGTCACCCCTTTTAAACACACAGAACTCGTGCCCGGAGAAGGCAAACGACTACTCCGGAGACCACAGCCAGCAGGTGGCAGAGACAAGCAGTCTGGCTCCTCCGCACTCAAAGCTGCACGGCGGCGCGTCTGAGCAGAAGCGTGGAGAGCTTCAACACGGCTCTGCGGGCGTCCCACACAGGCTCGGGTCAGCTCGGCACTCGGAGATGCATGCCCTTGGGTTCCTTCTCCCCCTAAACTTCAGCTCCCCCTACCGTAATGTGGGAATAATGTGACTTGCACGGGGCCGTTGTGAGGATTAAATGAAACAGCACACAGAGAGTGCTAACACAGAGCCCAGGCACAGAAGGCTTCAGCCGATCACTGCCTTCACCACCATCGCTCTCTCCGGCGGGGTCCACCGCCAGCCAGCCGGCCGGAAGACCCCTCCCCGTCAGTTGTACCCGGCCACTCGGCCAGGGAGGAAGAGCTGAGCAGTCTCTGCCATGTCCCTTCCCCCCGGGGCACTCACAGGTCCACTCGGTGGCACTGGGGCCTGCTGCCCGGTGGGGCCCAGCAATCGCATTAAGCGTCAGCTCATAGGGGGTGCCTGGAGACAGGTGAAGGAAGGTGTAATTGGAGACCCCCCGTCCGACAATGACCGCAGTCAGGTTGGTGCCACCCAGGAGGTCTGTGAGCACGAGCTGGAGCCAGGCGGCCCCCTCGGAGCCACCCCAGGATGCTCGCAGGGTGCTGGTGCCCAGGGCGTGCAGCCCCAGGTGATCCGGAGACACGGGGGCTAGAGGAAGGACGGAGAGAGCAAAGTCAGGCTTGAGCAGAGGCTCTGGGGCAGGATGGCCTGGCACCAGGGAGCCCAGAAGCCACTCCCACCACGCCCAGATTGGCTGCCATCTGGGGCCTTGCCCGGGTGCCCACCTCACCTGTCCACTGGCAGAGACTGGTCTTGGTTTGGAGGCTGCCAGCCCAGGTGATAACTTCCAAAACGTACTCAGCACCTGGCAAGAGGTTGCCAAAATCGTAGGACAGGGTGTCGGGGGGCACGGAGGCATTTTGTGCCAGCGTCTTGGATTCCCGGTGGTGGAGGAGGAGTTGGTAGCCGTCCTGCTCCCCAGGGCCTTCGCTCCACGAGGCCTCCAGGCTGGGCGGGCTCCCGGGGCTGTGGAGCTGCAGCCCCTGCACAGGTGATGGGGCTGCGTCACAGGTAAGGGAAGCACCAAGGTCAGGGCCAAAGGGGCCTCACCCCAGTCTATAGGCTGGGGTGAGGCCCCTTTGGCCCTGACCTTGGTGCTTAGAAGTGCTTCTAACTTCTAACCACCAGACCCTGCCCCTCCCACGCAGCCTGCAGGCCTCACACCTGTGCGGGCCGTGAGGGTGACGGTGACATTCTGCCCACAGGGTCGCAGGGCAGTCACTTCCAACTGGTAGCGACTCCCTGGCACCAGGCCCTGGAACTCGAAGCTGGACGCGTTGGTGAGGGCCTGGAGCCGCTGCCCCCCGGGGGAGCCGAGGGGGCTCAGGCGCACCAGGCGGAGGGCGCGTTGGGCCCCGCCTGGCTCCGGGGCTGCCCAGCTCAGAAAGAGGCTCGTGGGACTCCCCTGGCTGCTGACGTTCACACTGGGGTGCGGGCCTGGGGAGAAGGGGTCCTTCAGAGTCTCCCACATGCCTCTGCCCTAAGCGGGGAGCAGAGGCAGCGTCTGCGTGGGGAAGTTGGTCCTGCACCCCCACTCCTCGGCACCTACCTCCACGCTCCCCGGTGGGGCTCTGCTCCTGGGAGTGGCACGGGTCTTCCTGCAGGAAGCAAGGGAGGAGGGGGGTAAGGACAGGCAGACGCCACTGAGGTCCAGGCCGCTGGGAAAGCCAGTGGGGGAGCAGGGCCGGGACCCTAGAGGAAGCTGTCCCTTGTCAACACCCCACGCAGCCAAAGGGCCATCTCCTGAGGCGTGCCCAAGTTGCAGGGGCAGCCCCAGGCAGCCTGGAGCAATCTGTTCTGGACGCCCGCTGGCGGGTGGGAAGGGAGCAGCCATCCTGCCCTGCTCGCCTTTTGCAGACCAGCTGTGGGCCCACAGAGCGCGGGGCGGCCCGGCCATGCCCGGTGAGCAGGGGCCCCAAGCGCCCGGCCTGCCCCCCACGTCCCCCTTACCTCGGCCAGGACACCACAGAGCCACAGGAGGGCAGCAAGCAGGACCGGGGGCCTCATCCCGGTGTCTGCGGAGGAAAGCCGGGAGGCAGCAGGGAGGAGCCAGCCCCCTGCCCCGCTGGCTGGCGCAAGGGTGGGAAGGGCAGAGCTTCAGGCCGACCGGGCCGGCGGCGGCGGGCAGCAAAGGGCAAGGGGCTGCCTCTCGCCCCCGACCCCGGCCCCCTTGGCAAGGCTCAGGAGGGGTGACTGGCAGCGGAGGCTGGCTCGGGCCAGAAGGTGGAAGGGACTGCAGCTCTTAGGCTGCAGACGGGCCCACCTCTTCCCTCCTCCCCTGCCCACCCCATCTCCCGGAGTTGGCTCTCCAGGGAGGAAACCGTCCAGTGCTCCAGGGGAAGATGGAGAGGAGCGATGGCCTTGCAAAAGGACACATACAGCAGAGGCAGCTGGCTCCCGGCTCCCTGACCTCGGACAGGGGCGTGGTGTCTGTTGACTCCCTCGACATGTGCGACATGTGCGAGACAGGGCGTTCCTGCCCCCCCTGTGTGTGTTGTGCTGGTGGCACGGTGCGGATAGACCAGCTGAGTGTGTGTCCCCTTTTGTGCATCCGAGTGGCACCATGCTCTTGTGGACAGAGGCACAGAAGCACATCTGTGGGCCCTAAGTCACAGTGACTGTAGATCTGGAGCCCACCTGGTCCTTAGGACTCAACACCCCCCCCCCACTGCCCAGGGGAGGAAGCTGACACCCAGAGAGGGGAAGAGCCCAGCCCGAGGCCCCACATGTGTGGCGAGGGAAGCCTGACTTGAACCTGGGACTTCAGACTCCATAGAGCAGAGAATGCAAAGCCTGCTCTTAACTCTCTAACGAAGAGTGATTCAAGGCCCTAGAATTTCTGCTTGCCGGGCCCCACTCCTCCACCTGGGTCAGCAGCACCCACCCTGGTTCCCCCACCTGGCTGCCAGCACTGCAGAGGCCCAGGCAGGCCCACCTGAGGCCTGGCCTCAAAGACCTTGAACCTGAGGCTTTGCTGTACCCCAGCCTAGAGCCACCTAGTCACCTTGAGCTGCTCACCCAAGTGCTCCCGCCCCAAGACAGCTGAGGGCGGGCAAGGGAGGGAGAACAGAAGAAGTGCTCTGGGAGGGAGGCCTGGGAGGGAAGCCCAGGGCTCAGGGCAAGCTCAGGAAGTGCGGGGCGGGGCGTGTGCAGAAACAGACAGGTATAGAAAGTTTGAACACCCGGGCAGCTTCCCTGGAAGATAGATTCTCCTGGGCCTGCCCCGGCAGGGAGGACAGGCCTGTGGCAGAGACCGGCTCCGCGCTCAGGCCAGAGCCAGGGGCTGCCTGTCCCTCCCCGGCTCCACCGAGCCCCAAACCTCAGAGCCGCCTGAGGGGAAGGGGGCCTGGAAACTCAGTGCTGCAGACTCATCAGATTTTCCAGGCCATGCGTGTGCACGTGTGTGTGCGTGTGCGTGTGTGTACACATGCACACGTGTGCTCTCTTGGTAGGGGGACGTTGGGGGGAGGGTGACAACTAGGGAACTGATGTGAGAGGGAAGAAGCCCAGGCCCCAGTCTAGCCAAGAGGTGGCGGAAACGTCCTACCCCCATCCGTCCTCACCTGGGGACACCTCCCTGTGTTCTTTCTAGAAGTCTCCATCAGCAGCCGCAAAGGGCAGAAGTGGGCGGGGTGGGGGGGAAGTGCCCTAATTCAGAATCTAAGTAGAGGAGACGCAGCAGGACATGAGTCTAGGAAAAAGGGGGGGCGGGTCTCAGAACCTGCCCAGGAGTCCTCCCAGGAGACAGGCCTCTCGGGGCTGCACAGACGGCGTGGCTGGTCCCCCGGCACAGCCGTGCGGAGGGACCTGGCTGGACAAGGCACCGCTGCCGGCTCCCCACCCCGTCCGGGGCAGCCTTAGGCACAGGAGAGGGGCTCCGGAGAGGGTGCAGGAAGGTTCTGACAAATAAGCAGCAGCCTCCCCAGCCCGAGCCTCTCCATTCAGCAAAAATAGTACCGCAAGGGCTGCGTCTCCTCCCCGGCAGCCGCCCCCACAGGCAAACCCACATCCTCTCCCTAGAGAACCCCCGGGGTCCTCCCGAGGTCCCAAAGCACCTCACCGATTTCTTCTGGAGAGACCCAGCCAGCAGGCGGAGGACAGCAGGGGGCAGGTCCGGGTGTCCTGGCTCCCAAGTGTGAGCTGGCCGGGTCTCTCCCTAGCCGTCCCAGGCAGCTCTCCCGGCCCCTCCCCTGCCCTCCCCCAGCCTGAAGCCAGGCCTTGGGCACCCCCCACGCTGGAGGGAGATAATCACCAGGCAGGAGAGGGCCAGGGTGGCTCCGGACAGCCCAGCCGCCCACTCTCCCTGCTTCCTATGCTCTGGGGACGGTGGCCGGAGGTGGGGGTGGCGGGGGGAGGCCCAGGTCCCACTGACCAGGCGGTGAGGGAGCAGGGGAGGGGCTGCACACGGGTGCTGTGAGGGTGCACGTGCCTGCCCGGATGCAGGCATGAGTGGGTGTTCGGGGACAACACGGAGCAGGAGGGAGACAGGAGGGAAGAAAAAGCCACATTGTGGAACAGACACCCATTTATTTCACTGGCTCTGGGCTCAGGAGAGAGGGAGGGACCCTCTCTGCCCCGAAAGTCCCCCTACCATTGTCCTGAGTTCTGGCAACAGCACGCCGGTCCCTCGCCCCAAGTCTGAGCAAGCCTGGACCTCAGGTCCTCTTAGCCAGTGGCAAGGGACGGGAGAGTCCCTTTCACCAGCAGCCACCCAAAAGGCAGCAGGAGGGTAACTGGGTGCTGGGTGGCCTGGCACAGGGTGTGGCCTTGGGACAGGGTGCCATCCTGGGAGGAGTCCAAGGTCACACGGCCTTCACACTGGACCGTTCCCACGCCCCCAACAGCGCTGCTCTGCCCACTCACTGGGCCTCCGCCGGTGTCTCCCTGCCTCCTCCAGGACCAGGCTGCCCAGCCCCCAGTCCCGGTGTCTCCCTGCCTCCTCCAGGACCAGGCTGCCCAGCCCCCAGTCCCGGTGTCTCCCTGCCTCCTCCAGGACCAGGCTGCCCAGACCCAGTCCTGGTGTCTCCGTCTCCCCCACACAGGCAGAGTCAAGCCTGCCCTGACGGAGAAGTTGGGGCAGAACAGGCTGGCTTGGGCTGGCCTACGGTTTAGCGGGCGGGGAGGAACGGGGAGGGCAGCCAGGAAGGGGAGCGGGGCAGGTGGAGGGTGCAGGGCCCAAGAGCCCAGGCCCCCAGCAGCTGACCCTCTCCCCAAGAGCCTCCCCTTGGAATGTTATAGGTGGCAGCCTTGGCTTCTGGAGGCCAACGACGATGAACGGGCAGCCTGGCTAGGAGCTCCCTGCTCCCTAGGGGCTGCCAGGGAACAAGGACTTCCGGGGAGTCCAGATATAATCCGCCTCCTCTCCCCAGGGGCTTCCGACCCCGGGGCCAGGGAGCCGTGGCCCGCAGCCCTGGAACCAGGAATCACCAGAGGAGGGAAACAAGAGCCAGGCCACATGTGGCCAGAGCTCAGGAGGGCAAGGGTTCGGGCCACAGCCTCAGATGGGACAGGATGCCACCGCCACCCTGCCAGGATGACCCCTCCGCCCACTGAGGGGTGGGCTGTGCCCCATCTGGTTGCTGGGAGCCCCTGGGAGCGACTCCTTCTAGAACCTTCCCCCAGCCGGGGTGGGACTGCCCGGGCAGCCTGGCCCCAAGGGAAAGTAGACAGCGAGGATGAGGGTGGCTGGGGAGCGGTGAGACTCCCGGCCAGACCCTGGCGCTGCTCCCAGGCCCACCCCGCCAGCCGGCTCCCTCAGCCTCCCCTCCTCCCTCTGGCCTGGCCACTCCTGAGCTCCGCTGCGAGCACAGGCCTGGCCCCATGTGACAGGGAGGCTCTGTTATCGTCCCCTGGGAGGGAGGAAGCTCTGGGAGGCACCGCCACTGGCCCGTGGTCACAGATGATGAGCCGCAGTTTAGACTCGTTGCGCACACGTCTTCCCGCCTTCCAGCTCTTACCCTGCCTTCTCTGGAGCCCAGGGTGGCTAGAACCTAAACCCCAACTCGGGAAGACACATCGGCAATGGGTGCGATGAAGTTCGAGAGCTGCCTGGGATAGGACTGTGGACGGTGTTAGCGGAAGGTTCTGGAGGGGAGAAGAAGTCACTCCCAGGAGCCTCCCAGCAGCCCAGGTGGGGCAAAGCCCACTCCAGGGAGGGCAGAGAGGAGCAGGCCAGCCCCCCGGGCCAGGCTGGGGAGGGGCTGGTGCAGGGCCGTGACCTCGTCCTGTCTCATCTGAGGCTTGCAGTGGGCGCCCACACCCTCCCGCACTCTGCACACACCTCCCTGGACGTCCAGGCGTTTCTAAGCAGCAGGGGGAGACAGAGCGGGCAGGCGGCAAGGGGTGACTGTCCCCTCCACCCTAACCCCACGAAAGGGGAACCAGGGGATCCTCGGGGTCTTACCTGGTGCCCAACCATCACCCCAACCCCACCACCCACCACCTTCCCCAGCTTCCAGCTCCCAGCAGCCTCGCTCCCTGCCCACGAGCTCAGCTTCCAGCTGTGGAGCCACCGCCAGGCCCCAGCCCGAGGGGCAAGGGCTGTGCTCACAGCCAGCGGGGCTCGGACCCTGGAAACCTGGGGCCGCTGGGCAGACCCGGGTGGGGAGGGCTTCGCCCACTTCCTCTCCCCACCCCTGTGGTATCCTAGCTTCCTGTTCTTGATAGCGATCGACAGCGTGCCCCAGAGGCGGTGGCCCTCTTTCCAATGCCCCCGGGCCCCAGCTGGTGTTGGGGGGTGAGGCCGGGGCCAGCCTGGGGTCACTGCCCACAAGCGTGTCCGCTTCCCCAGGCTCCTGCTCCCCTCCATCCTGGCACCAGAGCCAAGCACTTCCCCAGCTCTAAGCAGCCTCCTCCTCAGGGAAGCCCACCCCCTCCCCGGGGAGCGCAGGCCACAGGGAGGAGGGAGCCAGGATCAGCTGGCCCTGGAGGGGCTCCAGTCGCTGTGCCCACCGCCAAGCGCAAGCGCAGCTGCTGGGAGCCTCCTGAGCCCCAAAGGGGCATCCTTGCTCTTCACCTCCCCCCTCCTCCCCCCTGGGCCGGCAGAAGGCCAGCCCCCTCCCCACCACCCCCTCCGGCGTGCCTACCCCTGTGCCTATTGTACATCAGTCTTTTTTGCTGTCATCGTTTGACAGCTGAATCAGGGAAGTGGGAGGAAGAAAGAAGACTCAGAGTGTGTGCGCTGGGGGCCGGGCAGGGAAGGGAAGGGTGTTTGGAATGTTACAGGGTAGAAGGAGAGGTGCAGGGAGCATGAACCGGCTGGGCCGCTGGCCAGCACGGGGCCTACAGAGGCCAGGCAGGGGTGGGGGGGAGCGGAGGAGTCTTGGACTCGGGGTCCACTCCCCAGGCCCCAGGCATCCCGGCACCCCAACAGCGAAGAGGACATGGGAGCCCCCTGGTGTGAGGGCCGGAGACTGTCCACCATCTGTAAGTCTCCTGAGTGGACGTGCTGGGAGGAGGTCTAGAGGTGGCTGGGGACCCCGGGGAAGCCCCTTGGGCTCCCGCACAAGTTGTCTCCGAGAACGGCCTCCCCGTGGGCCGGCCTGCGCTGGGGCCAGAGGCAGCTGAGAGCTGAAGCGTAGCCCGGGGCCTCTCCTTCTCCTGGTGGGGCATGGACTCTGTCCTCCTCCTGTCCCCACCCCAGTCTGCACCACGCCAGCCCTGGGGGGACGCGGCCTGTACTTGGCCATGAACTCCCCAGGCTTGAAGCTGCAGGGGCGCCCAGGGAGGGCACTCTGGAACAGAAGCAGAGAAGTGGAAGTTAGTCTCTGGCTGGCCAAGGTCGGGCTGGGCAGGGGAACCTGAGGCCGTCTGTGGGACGTCATGCAGCCGGGGTCAGCTGGGCACTGCCCCGCATGTGGGCAGAGGCTGGGCGTGACGAGGACCCAGAGGAGACACACAGCAGGGGAGAGGGGAGTTTGGAAGCTGGGGGAACCCCGGGTGGTCGGCGAAGGCCCAGCCCCTCGCCCACTCCCAGGCCCCAGGGCCTGGGGCCCCCGAGGGGCACGGGCAGGAGGCATCCGACCCCTGGCGGCGGCAGCGGCAGACACAGGAGGGCAGCGTGCAGCTGGGGTGTGCGTGGGTGGCAGTGAGGAGGGGCGGAGGGAGGAAACTGGCTTCCTGGAGCCTTCTCAGCCCTCAAAGACAGACCGACAGACAGACACACAGCTGGCAAGAGGCAGCCTGGGGGCCACACCTGCTGCAGTAAGTACCTGAAGGGGGGGCAGCAGTCCCGTGGCCCCGGGGTGGTGCGAACTTCGGGGAGATGGGAGGGCATCTCCGGGGAGGGTGAGTTGGGGCCACGGTGCCTGGCCGGGGAATGGGTGCCGGCCGGCCGACCTGATGCCCCCGAGGCCGGAAGGACGGGGAAGCCACGGGGAGCCGCAAGGACAGCAGAGGCTAAAGGGCCCTCTGCCCGCTGCAGAAGGATCGCTACCACCCACACCTGCCCCGGGGCCCGCCCTGTCCCCTCACCTCTTCCTGTGGGCTTGGGGACTCTGACAGCCCCTCCGCCCCGGCCACCATGACCCTAGCTCTGGGACATGGGGACCGCCCCACCCCAGGGGAGAGGGTCCCACCACCTCCGTGCCCCCTCGGGCGCCCCAGCTGTCGCCCCACCATGCACTGTCGCTCAGGGCTTGGTGAGGCCATTTCCTGTGACGGTTACGCGGCGGGAGACGGGGGATGGGCAGGAGGAGGAAGGAAACACCCCCAGCCTACCTCCCTGGACAGAGACCCCAGGAGCCATAAACGAACTTGGGAGTGGAACCGCCAGCAGCTAGGAGAGGGCCCTGCTGGGGGCCCGCAGCCTGGCATGTCGGGGTCCCCAGCTAGACCCAACGCTGCTGGACGCCCCCAATTCCTCCTTCGGGAGAAGGCCCACTGGTCAGCTCCGTGGAGTTTCCATGAGCTGCCTCCTCTAGCGAACACGAATTTTATATTTCCTCCCTGGCCTTTTCTCACTCGGACCCCAGCTCCGAGCCCCGTGCACTTTGGTCTCTTGCCTGTCTCTCCCCTGTCCTCTTCCTCCTTCCTTCCTTCCTATCCTCATCCACATCTCTCCCCTGCATCCTGCCCTCACTCTAACCCCAGGTTGCCCGCTCTCCTGGGTCCAACCAAAGAGCCCCTGTCCTTCCCAGAGTGGCAATGAGGCCACTTCTTGGGGAGCAGAAGACACCCCCAGTGAACACGGAGCAGAAAGCCGGCCTGGCAGGCAGGCCGGAGGTCAGCGTGCAGGGCCCTGTCTTGCAGGCAGAGCTCATGGCTGAGTGAGCCTCCCCTCGGCCCAGCACCCCAGCCCAGCATGGTCCAGGCCCGTGGGGGGCGCTCCAGAGCACAGCCGCCGACCTCGCCTTCGGGGGCAGCCATGACCCAGCCTCCGCCCGCCAAAGCGCCGGCCAAGAAGCACGTGCGGCTGCAGGAGAGGTGAGAACTTTCCCAGGGGAGGGGCCTGCCCAGCCCCGAGCCCCCGCCCGGCTACTCCGTCCCCTCCAGCTGCACCTCCAGCTCTGACAGCCCAGACGGCCCAGGGTTGTTGACTCCAATCTGGAGAGGAAACCAGTGGTGCTCATTTGCATGTCCCTTGCACGTCGGAGGCTCAGAGTTTCATGTCAGCCCTGAGCCTGCTCCCCAAATCCCCGGCTGCATTGCGCAGTCCCGGGGCACGGCCAGCGGCCTGCTTGGTGCTGGAAGCAGGTCGGGGCCTCGGGGCCAGGGTGGGAAGAGGTGGCCGCTGGAAGGGGCAGCCGGGTTCAAAGCTGGGCTGTGCAGGCTGACAACAGGAGCAGAGGAGGCAGGAGGGGCCTGAACCCATGAATTCCCTGGGTCCAGGGAAAGACAAGGAACTGCCTCCTTAGATGTGCCTTGTGACGATGACACTCGTAAGACAGCAAACACTGCTGGGTGCTCACTGGGCTCTGGGTGGCTGCGCCCACAGGCGGGGCTCCAACGTGGCTCTGGTGCTGGACGTGCGGTCCCTGGGGGCCGTGGAGCCCATCTGCTCCGTGAACACGCCGCGGGAGGTCACCCTGCACTTTCTACGCACAGCCGGACACCCCCTCACCCGCTGGGCTCTGCAACACCAGCCGCCCAGCCCCAAGCAGCTGGAGGAGGAATTCTTGGTAAGAACTCGGGTCCCCTCGGGGTCTGTCTGTATCAGAGGCAGCCAGCTGGCCCCGTTCTATCCTGGGCACCATGGGCTCCTTAGGAAAGAGAACTGCGGGGCCCAGGGGAGGGGGCCATCCCCGGGCTTTCCCTTCTGCCCCCAACCCCATCCAGGCCGGCACACTCATGCCAAGAAGGAATGGCCAGGCCCAGCCGTACGGGGAAAGGGTTCAAGGGGAAAGAGGAGCTGGGAAAAGGGTATCAACTGTTCACTCATATCCTCCCCCTGCCAGAAGATCCCTTCAAACTTTGTCAGCCCCGAAGACCTAGATATCCCCGGCCATGCCTCCAAGGACCGATACAAGACCATCTTGCCAAGTAAGAACTGCAGCTGGGCTGGAGGGAGGCGGGCACTGTCCCGGGGCCGGAGAACTTCAGAAGGCAGGATGCACGGCTCAGCGGGAAAGGGCCACCTTACTTGGTGCATCTCCTTTCCTTGGAGAAATCCCACAGCACGCCCGGCCGGGGAAGAAGGAGCAGTAACCGCAGCAACAGCAACCTTTGCAGATGCTCGCCGTCTGCAAAGGGCAAGCATGGGCCAGGCATGGCTCTAAATCCTTTAAATTAACTCACTTCTCAGAATGATCCCATGATGTTGATACTATGGTATTATTACGCACATTTTATAAGTGAGCGAACTGAAGCACAGAGAAGTTGAATCACTCATCCCGGGTCACAGAGCTAGTTGCACAAACCTTCTTCCTGGTCTTCCTCCCCTACGGGGAATGCCCAGCAAGGGCTTGTGCGGAAGAGACAGCACCAGGAGGGAGGGCGAGGAGACAGTCAGACAGAGGCCAGGCAGCAGCAGTGAGAGAGCAGTGACAGGCGGGGGCGCAGGACCCTGGGCTGTAGGGGGACGGCCTTACAAGCTGACAGGCCCAGGGCTAGCACCTTCCAATTCCGAGATGACCTGGAGGCCCTTGGAGCCTCTCCCCCCCTCCTCCCTCCCACCTGAGCAGCCCTACTGGGCTAACCCCTCCGGTGACTCCCAGTCCAGGCGACAGCCCAGCCGAGCACACTGGTCCTGCCTCCTGCTGACCCTCCGGCAGGCCCTCCACCTGCACGTGCAGAGCAGGGGCTGTTGGCACGCGCCCAGGCTGTGGGAGGAGTGGCCCTTGCTCTCCGCCTTATTCCAGTCCGTCCTGCAGCCGCCACAGCGGGGAGACGTCCTTCTGCCTGGGAGCCCATGGGGCACCCTCTGTCCACGACCAGGCTGGCACGGGGAGAGCGACAGTCTCCTCTCCTTGCCCCACAAGCCAACTTCTTCACCCCCCGATTGGATTGGATTTGGAGAAATACCTCCCTGCCCCACCCCCAGAGGCCATAATGGCACGAGAAATCTGAGTCTAGTCCCACTTCACTGCTGCGAGATCTCAGGCGAGTCGCTCACCTGAATCCCATACTCACTGTCAGCAAAAGAGTCTTCCTCTACAGCATCTCTCGTTCCATTCCCACTGGCTCAGTCCTATTCTAAACCCCCACTGCGCTCAAGGCTAGAGCATTATATCTTCCCGCTCGGGCTCTGCTGCTCCACCCCCTTCCCTCTCTAGTCCATCCTGCAAACCACCACTCCGTTAACCTTCCCAGATTATCACTTTGGTCATGTCACTCTCCCGCTCAAAAACATTCTGTGGCTCCCTATTGTCCACACATAACATAACTCACCGGGTATCAGGCTCCCTGCTCTACACAAGGGACTGCGATGAGCACAGGGACTCTCCTCTTTCTGACACTGCTGGACTCCACAGGCTTTGGTCACCCTTTGACCTCTGACCTCCGCTGATGCTTACTTCCTAGATCCCCAGAGCCGCGTCTGTCTGGGCCGGGCACAGAGCCAGGAGGAGGGAGACTACATCAACGCCAACTACATCCGAGTGAGCGTCCGGGCCGCAGTGGCGGTGCAGGGAAGGGCGTGGGGTGGGGCCGTGTGTGAAGGTGTCTGAGAGGGACTTCCAGCCGCCGCCGGGGTCAGGTGCCCCGGCTTCCCTCCTGCTTGCTTCAGCTCACTGAGGCCACCGCCCTGTCCAGCTGGGCTGGACACTGGACAGCCCCCAAGACACCAGCCTAGAAAACAGAGCAGCTCACAGTGGGTCAGCTTGTCTTATTGATAAATAGATACGTAAATACGTAGATAGACAGATAAAGAAAAGGGGGAAAAGAGCAGATATTAAAAATATTTGAAGAGGTGGGGTGTGGTGGCACGTGCCCGTAGTCCCAGCTACTGGGGAGGCTGAGGTGGGAGGATCGCTTGAGCCCGGAGTTCAAGGTTACAGTGAGCTATGATCCTGCCACTGCACTCCAGCCTGGGTGACACAGCAAGACCCTGTCTCTAAAAAACAATAAAATAAAATAAAAATAAAAAAAAACATACATCTGAAGAGACCACCAAGTCTCCTTAACCTACCCTATCACCATATCCATTTCAACAGTCTAAACTGAGCAGGAAGTTAGCATTGCGGAGCCCAATCTCCAGCTTCCTGAGGGCTAATCGCTCCTGAAATCTGCAGGGCCAATGCCAGCACTAACGGGACCTCCCCTGCCCCTCCCCCTTACCTTAACCTCACCTCAAGCAGCCCCTCCTCAGTGGGGACGCCTGACTGATGTCAAGCTGTAGGAAGCTCCAGGGAAGTGGGCTCTCCAGCCCCGCTGCTCTCCTGTCGGCCCCAGGCAGCGGAAGGGCAGCGCTCCCTAACGCTCAGAGCGGCCAGAGCAGCAGCCAGGGCCGCAGAGGAGAGAGAAGCTGCCAGCGAGGGCAGCAGGGAAACCGGAGCTTCCATCCTCCCGCGTGCTGGCCCAGACCCGGTGGGCGGGCCTGCTTCCACCTGCGCCTTGAGGGGCAGGCGGCTGAGGACCCTGGAGAGAGGAGAGACCGGTTGCAGAGAGGGCGCTACATTGTGCCACTAAACGGGTAGAACGTGCAAAAGTGAAACGTCATTCTCAACAAATATCATGCGCTGCTTTGGTAATTTGTGCGAGAAGAAAGCAGCAGGAGAGGAAGGGAACAAACATTTATAGAGCACTTGCTATATGCTAGACTCTCAACATGTCCTGTTGCATTTAATCCACACTATTATACATTGCTACAAGATAGACACTATTATGCCCGATTTACAGGTGAGAAAACTGAGGCTTACAGAAGCTAGGGAGCTAGCTTACAGTGGCACGGCTAGGAACAGGGATCTGCTCCTCACTCCAGGACCCGTATCCTTCCCACCATGTGGCTTCCGGACGTGTGTGTCCGTGCATACGTGTGCCTGCGTGTGTGTGCGTGTGTGTGTGTGCCTGCGTGTGTGTGTGTGTGTGTGTGTGTGTTCCCTGAAGCCTCATCCCAGCACCCGCAGAGTCTGGGACCTCCCCGAGCTCTGATTTCACTGCTTCCCACCCTTCTCCTGTGCTGCCACCTCTCCAGGGCCACGACGGGCAGGAGAAGGTCTACATTGCCACGCAAGGCCCCATGCCCAACACCGTGTCCGACTTCTGGGAGATGGTGTGGCAAGAAGAAGTGTCCGTCATCGTCATGCTCACTCAGCTCCGAGAGGGCAAGGAGGTAGGAGGCAGAGCCCGGTGCCTGCGGACCTAGGAAGGGCTGTGCCGTGTGCACGCATCGGCACGTGCCTGGGCAGGGCAGTCAGGACCAGGGGCTGTCCTGACAGCCGGTCCCAGCTCACGTCCCTCAGAAAGGTCCCTTGGCTGGGCGCGGTGGCTCACGCCTGTAATCCCAGCACTCTGGGAGGCCGAGGCGGGAGGATTCCTTGAGCTCAGGAGTTCGAGACCAGCCTGAGCAAGAGCGAGGCCCCGTCTCTACTTAAAAATAGAAAGAAATTAGCAGGACAACTAAAAATATATAGAAAAATTAGCCGGGCATGGTGGCACATGCCTGTAGTCCCAGCTACTCGGGAGGCTGAGGCAGGAGAATTGCTTCAGCCCAGGAGTCTGAGGTTGCTGTGGGCTAGGCAAGCTCAGGAGGGCCAGGCCCCAGTTGCTGCCCCCCACAGTGGGGGTGGCCAATGGGGGGGTGTCATACCACCCCCCTCTATGCTGCCCTGGCCCCTGCTCCAGATGACAGACCCCCGCTTCTAACTCCCGGCTCCTCCCTCCTAGAAATGCGTCCACTACTGGCCGACCGAAGAGGAAACCTACGGACCCTTCCGGCTGCGCGTCCAGGAGCTGAAGGAGCATCCAGAATACACCGTGCGGCAGCTCACCATCCAGGTACCCGCCCTGGCGCCAGGCGCGCCCGCGGGGAAGCTGGGCCGCCCCGGCATCTCAGGAAGCCTGGCCCAGTCTTCAGTGGGAGCCAGGGGTTCACGCATGGAAACCCTCTTAAACCCACACCTAAAAGATCATTTTAAGCCATGGAAGAAAGAGAAGCCTGGGCACCGTCCTGAGGGAGCCTCTAGTCCCATAGGGCGGAGCCCGCAGAAACTGCAGTCCACCCCTGCTGGACGGCCCAAGGAGGAGAGGAGGGTCCAGGAGCCGTGCCGAAGGAATGCGTGTTTGGAATAGGTGCATAGTAACCCGTGTCAAAGCGCTTTAAAAATGCCTCCTGTGGTTGTACAGCGTTTCACATTTTTCAGAGCATTTCTCAGTCAACTCATTCTCCTCCGAGCATCCTGGGAGGCACACCAGTAAGATCTCACCGTCCCCATTTTCTAGGCGAAGAAAACGAGGTCAAGGGCGTTGTCCAAAGTCATGTGCTAGGTAGAGGCAGAGCTAGGACTTGAACTTGGGTCCTTCCCCTCTCCCAGGACAACGCTCCTTCCCAGCATCTCGGAGGGGGCGGTGGTGGAGTACGATGAGCAGGAAAAGAGCCCACCTTGCCTCCTTCGAGCCAATGACTCCCCAGCAGGATAATAACTCCAGCCGGCGCCCCCCTCGGGCACCAAAGAAGACGGTGGGCCGCGCCCCCGCCCAGGCTGGCCCTGATCTCACGCCTTGTCTCCACCCCAGCACCAGGAGGAGTGCCGGTCAGTAAAGCACGTCCTTTTCTCGGCCTGGCCGGACCACCAGACCCCGGAATCCGCCGGCCCCCTGCTGCGGCTGGTGGCGGAGGTGGAGGAGAGCCCAGAGGCGTCTTCCCACACCAGGCCCATCGTGGTGCACTGCAGGTACGCGGCGCCTCCCTCCCCCGGCCACCGGCTCTCTCCTGGGAAGGGTCTGAGCAGAACAGCACCGGGCGGGCCTAGCTCTTCCTTGGACAGGAACCTCAAGGCCATTCCGGCAAGCGCTCCCCTTACCTCCTTTGTGCAGAACCTGCAACTCCGAGCTGGGCACTCGGGGCAATCCAGAGAGATGGGTGGGAGGAAGGTCAGGAAGCTCCCAGTCTGCCGGGGGAGACACACACGTGAATACCTGCTGTTGGGGAACTCGTGTATTCGTTCAACAAACATTTACTGAAAGCCTATTATTGTCAGGCACGGTGTCAGACTCGAAGGAGACGGCTGTGAACAAAACAGTTTGGTCTCTTCCCTGCCAGGTTCACAGCCTGCTGGGAATGACGGCAGGTTAAACAATTAAACACAACATAACGTGATGAGCGTTATCATGGGGGGACTGTGGGGGAACACAGAACAGGTCACCTAACGCAGACTTAGGCCAGAGAAAGTTCCCAAGAGAGAGGACATCTAAGCCAACCTGACGCCTGATAGGTGGATGAGCCAAGTGAGGAGGGAAGAGGTGAGGCATTCCAGGCAGGTGGAACAGCATGTGCAAAGGCCCAGAGAAGAAGTTTTAAAAATCGCTTCATGGCCGGGCGTGGTGGCTCACGCCTACAATCCTAGCACTCTGGGAGGCCAAGGCGGGTGGATTGCTCGAGGTCAGGAGTTCCAAACCAGCCTGAGTAAGAGCGAGACCTCATCTCCACTATAAATAGAAAGTAATTAATTGGCCAACTAATGTATATATAGAGAAAAAATTAGCCAGGCATGGTGGCGCGTGCCTGTGGTCCCAGCTACTCGGGAGGCTGAGGCAGGAGGCTCACTTGAGCCCAGGAGTTTGAGGTTGGTGTGAGCTAGGCTGACGCCACGGCACTCACTCTAGCCTGGGCAACAAAGCGAGACTCTGTTTCAAAAAAAACAAATAAATAAAAATAAAATCGCTCCATTGCGGGGAGCAGAGTCGGAGGCTGGGCCTGGAGGTCCCGTGTGGGATAATGAAATGGTGCTAGATGAGTCTGGAAGGCAAATGAGGCCAGATGAGGAGGAACCGGCTAAGACACTTAGAGTCGCCATTTTGGAAGAATGCTTTGGCTACCGAGTGAAAAGTGGATTGGGGTGGTGCAGGGGGCCAGGCCTAAAACAAGGAGGCCATGTGGGAGCGGACGTCCTAAATAAAACAGAACGCAGAGGCAAAGTACAGACAGAGAAGCGCCCAAACCCACCCACGGGTGGCACTGGGACATAAATGCTAGCAGGTCACTGCTGGCTTCTGTTAGAAGGAGGGGAGGCCTGGGAGGGTTGTGAAATGAAGAAAGAGCAAGATAGGGCGGAGCGGAGAGGAGGTGACCGTGGGAGGGACAGAGGTGGGAGACGGGCTGAGCGCTGGCAGCATGGGAGGTGGGTCCGGGCTGGGAAGGAAGTCATGGTGAGATAACGGGGGCTCAAGAGGCCAGCAAGTGCACGAGTCGGGGACTGTCAGTTGGAAACCACTATAGACCACTAAGCAGAAGAGAGATCATCAGAATGTCCACAGGGACCAGAGGGTGGCCTGCAAGAGGCTTAGGTGAGGCGCCAGTTGTAACCTGCCTCCAGCAGGGACTCCCGGGGGGAGGAGGCTGGAATCTGGAATCTGAGTTGCTACCTCCCTCCACTCCCAGAGCCCTGCGCCCCCAAACAGAGCACTTTTAGGTCCCACTTCTTCCTCCATAGTTTGGGGCCTAGCTCCCATGTCCCCTGGTCTCCTGTGACCTCCCCGTCCCCTCCCTGGCTATATCCAGTGCAGGGATCGGCCGGACTGGCTGCTTCATCGCGACCCGGATCGGCTGCCAACAGCTGAAGGCCCGAGGGGAAGTGGACATTCTGGGCATCGTGTGCCAACTGCGGCTAGACAGGTGGGTCCTTGGATGGAAACAAAACCAGCAACAGTAACAGGTGGCGTTGGCGCCTCTGGGCCTCGGAGCACAGCCAGGCAGGTCGCCACCGTGCACTCACTCCTGGGAGACAGGGAGGGGCCCTGCTGATTGCAACTAACACCCAGGAGAGGATCTCTATCTGCAATTTTGGCTTGGAGGCCTGGAATTGAACATGCCACCCTATGGATCTACCCTGAGCCTTCAATCCTTTTTTTTCCTCCAAATTCCCTACGCAGACAAAAACTGGCAATGTTTGGTTCCAGGCAGTCACAAGCAGTGCACAGAAGCTCACTGGGTTTAGAGACGGGATCCGGGTTCGAATTCTGCCTTGTGTCTCACTGAGCTGTCACTGTATTTCTCTGGGCCCCTATTTCCTTATCGAGAGAGAGATGACAGCCCCTGCCCCAGAGAACTGTCAGAAGCAATGAAGTAACTTATAGGAAAGTGCCTGGGAAATAAGCACCACTATACAAATGCATAGAATCATTACTTTTATTTTTAAGATTAGTGGAAAGAGGGAAACTTGCGGCTCATGGATACTCCTGGCCCAACCGGAGAGATCGGAGTCTGGTTTTGCCCCAGGAGCTGAGGGGGTCCGGGGAGACCAAGCGTCTCCCCTTCACACGCCCAGCCACGGGGCTCAGCTTTGAGTTAGGGGCAGAGGGCTCCCCTCAAAGGGGAGACCAGAGGGGCAGCAAGGAGGAGGAGGAGGAGGAAGTAGAAAGGATGAACATATGTGAAGAAGTTGGCGTGTTCTTGCAGAGTCAGGACTTCCCAACAGAACCATGAGGCCGTTTGCGCCGAGCCGTTGGGTGAGCGCCCTGAGCCCCCTTCACTCATCCCTGCGTGTCTCTCCTTGCAGAGGGGGCATGATCCAGACCGCAGAGCAGTACCAGTTCCTGCACCACACGCTGGCCCTGTACGCGGCCCAGCTGCCCGGGGAACCCGGCCCCTGACCCCTGCCACCCTCCCCCAGCCCAGGGGCCAACCCCACCTCAGGCCTGGGAAGGTGGGTCCGGGGAAAGCGGGTCGTGTGATCCGGGCACCCCCTGGCTGGGCGTGGGGCAGGAGTGCCAGCCTAGGGCCGCTCACACTCTCAGGCAGCCGCCTCGGCAAGGACGAGGGGCCAGGCTCCAGTCTTCACCACCGACCACTCCTCTGCTTCCTCTAGTGGCCCCAAATGGACCACAGGGGGACATCCCCCACCGTGTCTCTCTGAACTTAAAGATGGAACTTACAACAGACAAACAAAGCAGCCCGGGCATCCTGGTCTCCTCAAATATGCTGTTTGTGGGCCTCCGTTTCCTCATCTGGAGCATGGACATTGAGTGCTTTGCTGCCGTGAGGGAAGGCAATCAGAGAAGTCCCTGGACGCCAGTCCAGCTGTCTCCCTTCCTGGGACCGGCAAGAGAATAATTCCAAGATCATCCTCCAACTGGGCCCAGCCCAAGCACAGGCCGGATGCAAGAGCGGGGAAAAGTCTGGTCCTGACCTCAAAGTCTCAGCGTCCTAGCAGTGACTCCCTGCCCCCCACCCCACATGTGTGAGGGCCGGACCCCTCCCGGACCCCTCTCAAAGAGCACAAGGACTGAGATTACCGCTGTCTCCACCCATGTGTGCTGAGAGCAGGCCACAGAGGCAGCCAGGCCTGATAGTTGGAACTTCTGCAAGAGGGGCTGTGTGGGGACTGCTCAGAGGCCCAGAGAGCGGCCCCCGACTCTGCAGTTGCCAGCCACTCACCCCAGCTACTCTCCAGGGGGGACCAGCATTCTCTGCTTTGCTTCCATGACCTCGAATGATACCCTCGGCACGCAGGAAGTGCCAAAGAAAGAGGAGAGGAGAGGAGACGGAGAGCACAGTCTGATTTTAGACACCCAACCCCACCACCACCCTTCACAGCCTGCATTTGCAGAGTACACCTGGGAGCTCGGCTCTTTCCAAAAGCAGCCTGGTCATAACCACTGCATGCAGACATGGAGGCGCAACTGAACCAGGACCCCTCACCATTGGCCCCAGAGACCCAACCCCCCTCATTCAGCAACACAATTTCCAGGGGACACCAGGTCTATCTCAGGGCTGACCTGTAACCCCAGGATTCATCCTCCTTGAATCCGAGAGGGGCGGCCCATTCTGAGACAGGGGTGAGGGTAAGGCACCCTTTCACCTGGCACCCCGACCCCGATACCCGCCTCGGCTGATGCCAGTTCTCCGTGGAGGCCCCCAGGGAGCTGAGTCCTGGACGGCAGCTGAAGAACATGCAGTGCGAGCCGAGGGTGGCTGTCTTCTGCTCGGCCTTACTGAGGAGCTCCTTCTCCTCCTTCTAACCCCGGGCATGGGCCCACCTGCACCTCCACCTTCTTAGGGCCTGTGAGAGACACCCCATCTGTGCCTGTGAGGCGAAGTGGAGGGCCCCCAAGTGCCTGATCCTGCCCTGAGCTCAGCCCCAGTCTGGAGGGAAGCCACTGCATAGCCCCACGGGCTCCCCTCCCTGGCACTGTCACCCCAGGCCTGTTTCTGAGCTCAGAGGGGACAAGCTCCGCACAAGTAACCAAGTGGGAAAATAAAGACTTCTTGGATGGCCGATTCATTGCTTCTCTCCATCTTCATCTCAGGCCTCTGAGGCCTCTTTGCAGCAATAGAGTAAAAGCTGCTAGACAGGCCGGGCGCGGTGGCTCACGCCTGTCATCCTAGCACTCTGGGAGGCCGAGGCGGGCAGATTGCTCGAGGTCAGGAGTTCAAAACCTGCCTGAGCAAGAGCGAGACCCCGTCTCTACTATAACTAGAAAGAAATTAATTGGCCAACTAATATATATAGAAAAAATTAGCCGGGCATGGTGGCACATGCCTGTAGTCCCAGCTACTCGGGAGGCTGAGGCAGGAGGATCACTTGAGCCCAGGAGTTTGAGGTTGCTGTGAGCTAGGCTGACACCACGGCACTCACTCTAGCCTGGGCAACAATGTGAGACTCTGTCTCAAAAAAAAAAAAAAAGCTGCTAGACAAGGAACAGGCTGCAAATCTTTACCTCTGGGATATGCACTTTTCTAGCACTTCCAGGGACACCAATCAAAGTGAAACTGAAATCAATGTAGGAAGTGAGACAGGGGTGTATTGTCACAGTCCACTCAGGCCTCCATAACGAAATACAGTACCATCAACTGGGTGGCTTCATAAACAACAGAAATGGATTGCTCATAGTTCTGGAGGCTGGGAAGTCGAAGATCAAGGCCCCTGCAGATTCACAGTCTGGTTAGGACCACTTTCTGGCTCATAGGCACAGAGTCTTGTCTCTGTCCTTACATGAGCTAGTGTTGTTCTCTCTCTCTCTCTCTCTCTCTCTCTCTCTCCCCCTCCCCTCTTTATATAAGGCCACTAATCCCATTCATGAAGGCTCGGCCCTCATGACCTAATCACCTCCTAATACCATCACCTTGGAGATTAGGATTTCAGCATGTGAATTTTGGGCGGACACAAACATTCAGACCATAGTATGCACCTTAGAAACTAAAGAGGGACTTATATAAAAGACACCGACTGGAAAGGTGGTGCTTAATAAACCAGAATATTCTGCTAGTCCAGGACCTTGTGATTCCTCCACTTTGGCCACTGTCTGATGATTTGGGGTTAAGTCTTGGATAGATTTGACAGCTATGGTTGATAGTGATAGTTTACTCACCTTTTGACTGTGTGTGAGCACACTTGGACACTTGGAAACCCATCCTAAGGAGCATCCAACATGGGGGGGACTGCCCTGAAGCCTGGGACTAGTGGGGTACAGTGAGCTGGGGTGATCAGCTTCTGCAAGGGAGGGGGGAAGGGTGGGGGAGCATGGCATCTCCGCAGGCCCTACACCGCCCACTGTCGCTTCTCCTCTTTTTCCTTTTGCTTTTTTTTTTTTTTTTTTTGAGACAGAGTCTCACTCTGTTGCCCAGGCTAGAGTGAGTGCTGTGGCATCAGCCTCGCTCACAGCAACCTCAAACTCCTGGGCTGAAGCAATCCTCCTGCCTCAGCCTCCCGAGTTGCTGGGACTACAGGCATGTGCCACCATGCCCGGCTAATTTTTTTTCGTATATTTTTAGCTGGCCAATTAATTTCTTTCTATTTATAGTAGAGACAGGTTTCACTCTTGCTGGTTTCGAAGTCCTGACCTTGAGCGATCCTCCTGCCTCGGCCTCCCAGAGTGCCGGGATTACAGGCGTGAGCCACTGTGCCCGACCTATGGGTTTTCCTCTTGAAGAAAACTTTGCTTTTCACCACAGCAGGGCAACAAAGGTTCTCCAGAAATCCCCCACGAGGGTTTTACGTGTTTCAGTGTCATGGCGATGCTAGTGAGAATCAGCATCAAGCTCAAGCATCTCTCTCGCTTCGGGCCAGGGGCTTCCTAAGCAGGTGGTCCAGGTAAATTGTGGTCAACTAAACAAGACCCGGAGTATTAAAAAACCCCACACGGTTGTGACTCTCTGCTGGGCACCTTTTAAAGGGATGGGGCTCATCCCCAAGGGTGCTCAGACGCGGGGGGTTCAGGAAACAAAAGGCCTCCGTTTGCCTCCCTCTCGCAGAGCTCGCCTCCCTGTCGGGGAAACTGGGTGGCCCGGCCTTCTTCAGCTGGAAATGTTCCCGTTTCCCGGGTTCTCGCCCACCTCGAGCCCACCACCACCCTTTAACAAACGGGGTGCCAGCCAGGGCGAGGCAGCCGGGGACGAGGGGGAAAGTAAACTAGACCCTGTTCCCCAGGCGCCCCTGGACGCCAGCCGGCAGTCAACCCCTAGCCCTGGAGCCCGCGGGGTGCCCGCCCACCCCACCCGCGGGCGCCGGCCGCCCCCGCCCGGGCGAGGGAGGAGCGCGCTGCGAGCGGGACGCGGCCCGGCCGCGCTGGAGGGCGGCGGCGGCGCCGGCGGAGGAGGAGGAGGAGGAGGAGGGCGCTGAAGCCACACCCATCGGCGAGCGGATCGGGGGCAGCGAGTCGTCGGCCGCTGCTCTCCAGCCTCCGCCCGCACCGAGCAGCGGGACCGGCCGCACCGGGGAGGGGCCGCGCCGGGCGCAAGGCGAGGGCAGCGAGGGCGGCGGGCACCGGCACCGGGCGGGGCCGGCGGCAGCGACCATGATCGCTTTGTTCAACAAGCTGCTGGACTGGTTCAAGGCCCTGTTCTGGAAGGAGGAGATGGAGCTCACGCTGGTCGGGCTGCAGTACTCCGGCAAGACCACCTTCGTCAACGTGATCGCGGTACGGGGCGCCGGCAGCGGGGCGCGGGTCTGGCCTGTCTCCGCCCGCGCCGCGCCCTAGCGAGCCGGGGTCGCCGCCTGGCATGGCCGGGCACGGCCGGGCACAGCCGGGCACAGCCGGGCACCGGGCGGGGGAGGAGCCGGCCCTGGGCGCTTGGGGCCTAGCGCGGCCGTGGGGGCCCGGGCGGCCGCCACCCGCTCTCGCGCCTGGGCGCGGATGGCACCGCCGGGGGCGAAGGAGAGGGCTCACAGACACAGGGCTGGTGCCCCGGGGCCGGCGGCACCGGGGGGTCTTGAGGCGGCAGGGACCCCCGCAGGCCCCTCTGGCCCCCGCGCAGGGGCATGACGGGGCGAAAGTGCCCGGGCCTTCCCGCCCCGCGCGGAGAGAGAGGGTCACGGGACGGGGCGGCCGGGCGGCGTGGGGAGGGGGCCTGGGCAAACCCAGCCCCACCCTGAGGGCTTAACCCCTTCCTGCCGGAAGAGGAAGCCCGGGCCCTGCTGAGGAAGGGGCGGTATCCCCTGGGGTGGAGGAGTCAGCTGAGGTCCCTGGCCAGAGCCCAGACTCCTCCTCCCCGAGCCTGTGCGGGACCCGCAGCGCGGAGCCGGGTCCGGGGAGGATGGCATCCTGCAGGGAGGCTGGAGTCTCCGCCTGGCTCCCAAGTTGCAGGAGGAGGCGCCTCGGACCAGAGAGGAGTTGTAAGGGGCGCCGCCGCTGGGGACGGGGTGGCAGTGGCTCTGAGGTCTGGGCGGCCAGGACAGGGTGGGGGGTGTACGAGCCTTTCAGCGCCAGGGAAGTGGTGGGGAAGGAGTTAAAATCTCTCTCTCTCTCAAAAAAAAGGGAAGATGAGCTCCCTGGGTGTGAGCTGAGGCTGCAGTAATGGCTGCGGCCTGCCTTTCCTAGCGGGGCGGGACCAGCTTGTGGTTGCAGGCAGCATGGGACAGGGGTTGGGGTTGTCCAGGGACCTGGCCCCGGTCCCACGGCTGGGGTTTCTGAGAACTGTGAATTGACCAGGTGCTGACCAAAAAATGCTGATGAGGCAGGTCGGCAAAGGAATGTGGCCCGCAAGCCTCATCCCTCCACCTGCCTTCGGTGTTGCCCAACCCAACCCGGCAGGATGTGGGCCTCCTGGACAGGCCTCTGCATCCCAGAAGGGAGGGAATGTCAGCGACACTGGGCCCGAGGCACAAGGGCAGATGGAAGGCTGAAGGGGCTGGTGCCTGTGGTCACGTGACTGGGCACTGGCTTGCTCTGCAAATGACCTCTGCCCCTTCCTCCACCCAAGTCTCCTGGCTCCTCATCCGACAGGGCAGGGTCTTCAGGCTGATGCTGGGATTC